TTGTTGGAGGATGTGTGTCACTGTGGGGACAGGCCTTGAGGTCTCATATCCTCAAGATACACCCAGTGTGGCACATAAGTCTCCTGCTGCTGCCTGTAGATCAAGATGTAGAACTCTCAGCTCCTTCTCCAGCACCACGTTTGCCCACATGATGGCATGTTTCCCATCATGATGATAAATGTACTAAATCTCTGAACCGCAAGCCAGCCTCAATTAAATGTCTTCATTTGTAAGAGCTGTTGTGGGCATGGTGTCTCTTCACAGCAATAGAAGCCCTAAGACAATCTCTCCACACAATAAATTTAAAACTCAGCTCTTAAGTCACTGCAAAGGAGAAATGACAATGCAAAACTAGAACTTATGCAGAATTTCCTGTGGGATAAGCACTCAAAACCATTAATAAAGTAGCACATGATAAACAAACACATGTTAAAGAACTGCAGGGAATAGCGTGGGAGGCTTTGAAAAGCACACACTAGCAGTTAGGAAAATGCACTTTCTCCTAGATGCTGCACTCACTCCAGCTAGGGACAGAAAACTTCTCTAGGATGAAGTTCTTCCTCAGCAGAAAGGGCACTTGGAATAATGTTTACTTCATATTTTTTGATACACAATACCACGGAGCATCTTGGATGAAGAAAATACCTATTTAGTCAAGGCCTCTGTTGATAGATTAAAAGGCAACAAATAATTGAGATTCAATGGTTACTTCCAGTTCCCATAGGTATCAGACTCTTGAGTATAATATAACACACAGGCAAGAGTTACACTCTCAGGTCATCTCCCATATTACACTATATCAGAAGGCTATGACTCTGAGAAGAATTATACCCAACCCAGAACAGGCAATTTTACAGATTGATCAGCAATGGCAATAATATGAATGGCTTCTAATATAAAGTCTAATGAAAAAGTCAAGGTAACTACTTATGTAAGCCTACCCCTAAATTGAATGCCATCATACTTTACATGTAGAATAGATAAACCACTTAGTTGCATTTGACTTAAAATCTCCACATTTTGCTGACAGTTGAGTTTACAGTAACAGAAGCAAGAACTTATCTGTAGAGTACAAGCAAAAAGAGAAGAATGCCAAAGGGCAATAGAAACAGAATTGGCAATGAGACTGCAAGGATACACAGGGATTAACTTTGTTTCGAGTTCTGAGTTAAAAGGGCATTCCATTTCTAAAACTGCTGAGTTCTTGTTTCTCAAAGGTGAGTTCTGCCCTCTCAAAACAAAACAGAGCCCAAGCAGGCCTCAGGAGCAGGGTGTGGCTCCTCTGTATCCAGCAGCACCCCAACCTATTCTGCTATAGGAGTCTCAGATTCTGAGTCATTAGTACTAATGTACGAAAACTTTATTTGGGTATAGTTAGTAAATAATTAGTATTTCCTGAACATGACAACTCTAGGAAAAGGTCACTGAACAGCACAATCTCTCAACTATGGTGATGAAAGAAGGTAAAAAGAAAAGAAAAAAGAGAAAAAAATCAGAGGATAAGAAGAAGAACCTGAAAGAAGACTGAAAATGCCTGCTAGTGGACCGAAACTTGTAAGAAAATGAGCCAATGCAGCTGGGCATGCCGGTGCACACCAGGGACCCAGCATGTTCAAGGCTGAGGCCAAACAGGGACAGAGTGAGATCTTGACTGAAAAAAAGAAAAGGATCCCAAATATAAAATGCCCTCAATTTTTTTCAGTCTCCAACATATGTATATATGGTCAAATTTAACTTGTAGCCAAGACAGACTGTATCATTTAAAATCACAATGGAAAGAAAAACAAACAAACAAAACCACAAAGGTAAACTTAGAGATGTCTAGCTAAAAAAAAAAAAAAAAAAAAAAAAACTTCTATTTATTTATTTTATTATTTACTATTTAATTTTATTCTTTATTACTTAAAACTGAGATATCAGTTTTTGTAAGAGACTTGTCAGAAAATACCGTTTTTTGGGGAAGAAGTCATTGTTTGGCATAAGAGATCAGCTACCTAATTCCATTTGGAATTTTATTTGGCTCATTGTTCTTAATCCTGGCTGCAAAGTTAAAAATAGCTTGAACTTTTCTGGGCCAGCCTTGGTGGTACACATCTTTAATTCCATCACTTTGCAGGCAGAAGCATATAGATTTCTGAGTTCAAGGCCAGCCTGTTCTACACAGTGAGCTCAAAAAAGATCCTGCTCTGCAGACATTTTATTTAATTGTTCTTATTACTATATATAAATAGTACTCATACTTTTAAGTGGAACTATGGTAGGGTTAATTATGTGGCTAGAATGAGAATCATAAAAAGGCAAGGAGCCTAAAAGCAAAACTCATTAGAAGCACACACCACTGACCTCCATGGAGGTCATGCTGGGCCTTGTGGCATATGCCTACAATTCCAGCACTAGGGATGCTGAGGCAGGAGGACTGTCAATTTGAGGCTATCTTAGGCTACATATGAAGATCCTGTCAATAACAAACAACAAATAAAAACAATAACGACAACAAAAAAATCCTGTCTCAAAAACAAGGTAGAAGGCCAGGACCAACACCCAAGGCTGTTATCTAACACACACACACACACATACACACACCCCACATGCACACTAAGAAACAAACATAACCAACCAAAACAAACCCAAAAACCCCAAATACAGACTACTAACTTTTACCAGAGTCTAACTAAATCAGGATTTCTCTGGTACAAGATTTGTACATACATTATTATATAGTTTTGTGAAATGCTACTATAAGGCAGGGTTTCATTTAGAAAATGGCGCTATTTATACAGCTTATAAGAAAACTGGAATTATCTCCTCTTTAGATAACTTGAACAGGAATTTAAAAGTCTCACAGTTCACTGATGACTTAGAAGCTCATTTTTCACACAGCCAAATTTGGGCTTCTCTTTAATGTTCTTGTAAAAGAATATATTAAACTACGTACAGACCCAAAGTAAAAGGGCTGTTAGCACTCACATGATGGCTCACCAGCATTTCTCACTCTAGTCACAGAGGATATGATGCCCTCTTGTGGTCTCTGAGGCACCAAGCATGCATGTGGTACACATAAAATACAAAGCACCCATATACATTTAATTAATTAACTAAGAAAAGTGCCATGCACCTTTTTTTTTTTTTTTTTTTTTAGGGTCTTACACTGTAGTCCTAGCTGGCCTGAAATTTCCTATGAAGACAAGGCTGGCCTCAAACTCACCTGCTTCTGCCTCCAGAGTGCTGGGCTTAACGACCACTATGCCTAGCCTCAATCAAGTTCTTAAAACCTTTACAGTCACTAATCAGGCTATGTTGGCTGGCCAGCAAGCCCCAGAAATCCATCTGTCTCTGCCTCTGAGTACTGGGCTTAAAATGTGTGCCACCATTACCTGTTTTGTTTTGTTTTGTTTTTTTATATGTGGGTGCTGGCAACCAAATTCAGGTTCTTACCCTTCAAGACTTACATCTCCCTAGCCTTTTATCTAAAGCAGTACTTAGGCTGAGTTTTCTCTTTATGTATTATGTATGGATCTATTCACCTGTTAGAATTATGAGCCTGCAAACATCAAAATCAGGGCCTCTTTTCCACCTCCATCCCTACACCCGTTTGTCCTCTTAGGTTCAATGAATCCATCATATAGTAACCCTCCAAGGAAAGCAGTAAGGAAGTTAAAGCATAACCCTGAGGATGTAATATTCAACCTATAGATAATACATCAATACAACAAGAGCAATTGTCATTTCCTGGGTGCCTCCATGACACTTTATTTGTCTACTTTGAGTCTAAAAAGACTATACAGCAATGTGGAATGATGACTCAATATTCTTCTACATCAGTCAAGCCCAACTGTTATAGTCAAAAGAAAGACAATAGGGGTGTTCACTTGTGACAACAAACTAGAGTCCCTTCATGGTCTGTGACTAGATTCTGGATGCAGCGCACAACTCACAGAGGTCTGACTGTAACCTTGGTGGACTCTCTGCCAACAAACACTGACATGGAAAAGCCATCGATGCCATAATCTTTGTGAAGCTGAAGAGACAACGGTATTACATATAAAAGAGAACAAATGGTTTTGTTTCTATCATCTCTGAAATCGTATTTCTGATCTACGGTGTGTGCCTTCCAATGTTGCTGGGAAATGTCAACTTCTCAGGCATCTTGATAGTCATCAGAGTATCAGACACCTATTCTGTAAGTCCACCAAGGTTAAGAACCTGATTTGCAGGGAGCCTTTCGACCTACCATTTTCTTAGCCTTTTCCCAAGACATTCTGGACTTTGGAACCTTTTATTATTAGAATCCTGGAAGCTAATTGAATTGGAAATATGACAAAGGCAGAAGTGAGGAGAAAGGGGAAAAGTCAAGCAGTTCTTTCCAATTGTAATAAAGGTACATTTTAGACAAAAATGCTCAAATAACTGCTTTAAAACATTTCAGAATTGGAAAAGGCACAAACTATTAAACGCCAGATTTTTTTTTTTTTTTTTTTTTTTAAAGAGTGTGTGCATGCTGAAACAGTCTCACTTAACTCGGGCTTGCCTCAAACTCACTTTGTAGCCAAGGTTAACCTTTAACTCCTGATTCTCCTGCCTCTCCTCCCAAGTGATGGGATTATCGGTATAGACCACCACACCCAACAAGGCAGAGGTTTAAAGGCCTGAAAGATGGTGACCATTATGAAGCCACTTTAATAATACTCAGGACCGAAGGAAAACTTGTAAGAAGTTAAGAAGCAGGAAAAATAATGAACTCTGGTAAGGACATCATTAATTATGATAGCCAAATAACATGTTGGCTAAATACCAGAAGTTCTATTTATAAGCAGGTCAACATGATAAATATGTACATGTGCAGACATATTCTGTCCCAATAATGAACAGAATGGTAATGTACTCTCTAAATAGATAATTCTGTCCTTAATGAAGGACACTTCTGCTCACCAAGAAAAGCCAAATAAAGTTCTCTAGTCCACCAAGAACTAAAAATAACCAAAAGAGAAGCAGGGGCTTACCAGGCTATCCAGTCCTCCTCCTAAAAGATCCACGGCTCCCATCTGCATGGAGGACACTTGCGGCACGTTCACGGGGGGACCCAGGTCAAGATTTAAAAGATCCCCCAGGAGGTCACCTTGAGAAGGGATGACCTGAGGCTGTTCCAGGTTGGTTGCAGTGGTGGTGCCAACAGGACTATCACCTGCATCAGTGCTGTAATCAAACACAGAGAAATGAGAAAAACCATCTTCACTCATGATACACTAAAGCAGCAAGCGAATCACAGGTATAACCACAAAACACTAAAAATGCAACTAAGGAATTAAACATGGCTGAGATGGCTCAGTAGGTAAAGGTTTCTGCCATCAAGTTTAATCCCCAAAATCCACACAGTGGGAGGAGAGAACTGACTCCCACAGGTAGTCCTCTGTGAGACATGCGCACACACACACAACAAATAAATACATGTTAAAAAAAAAGACTAAAACCAAAAAAAATTAAGTAGGTTTTGACAAGATTTGAACATGGAAGAGTAAGGAGAATGACAGTAAACAAGCATTAAGGAAAAGATGAGTGATGCTGCCAATAGGGGAATCTGGAAGCATGATAAAAAATAACCTGTTTTTGTTCGCTAAGAACACATTCTATCACCGAGCTATAACCACAGCTTCAAGATGCTTAATTCTGTTATGTGTTAAGAAAAAAAAAAAAAACTATACATGTCCAGCAGTCAACTAAAGACAAGTGACTAAAGACAGAACTAGACAATGAACTTGGGAAGAAATTTACATACACATCTTTAGATAACTTATCAGGGGAAGGTATGTTGGTAAGAGCAGGGGATCTAGACCCAGACATCTAAGATCAAGTGTAGGCTTTACATAGTGCAACTATAGGTGACTACTCTATGCTGAAGCTTCCTCATCAAGAGAATGCAAACAATACCACCCAAGCCAGGCTATTAAAGTAAGGACCCATTGAAAACATGATGTTGCACAGTAGACTCTTATAGTTATTAGCAGTGACTATGGTTGGCTGCTAAATTCCACAGGCTCTTGGTTTGAATATGCAGTCCCTAGTTTGCCACACTAGTCTGAAGGCTGTGGGGCATTCAGGGGACAGAGTCTGGCTGGCAGAAGTAGATCACTAGAGGCAGCCCTTTGAAAGGTATACCCAGCTTCCTGTTTGCTTCCCATACCTGCCCCCATACCTTCTCTGAGGAGGAAATTGACTTAAGAGGAGGAGCAATGAAGTATCATAATCCTGAATGGCCTCGCCTATAGCACTTAACTATAAATCATTCCACACAGCCCCCTGAAAAAAATGTAAAAAGAAACCGAGGGGACCTGTGTGGTTTGCTGCTGCTTTACACCAGGCCCAACAACAGGGAAAATCACTAGGATGTTTTCCCATAATTATGAGAAATGAAGAATGAGACAGCGATCCCATGGAAGCCTTCAAGTGTTACTTTATTTCATGTCACAAGTGTATCAACTTCTGTTGCAGAAGAGTTAGGGATGGACCTTACAGACAAACCAACTACAGCAATTCATCACACACATATGCACCCCCTTTTTGTTTCTGGATGGGAATTGAACTTAGAGGCCTCACTCTATCACCGAATTATATTCCCCAGTCATTAGCCCCACTTATACCAAAAGGTATTCTTTTTATATCAGTCTTTAAAGACAAAATAAAGTACAAACAGCTAAGGGGGCTTTGATAAGGACCTATATATAAAGCCAGACATGGTTGCCTACGCCTGCAATCCCAGCTTTATGGGAAACTGCTATAGGAAAATTGAAGCTTCTAGGCTGCACAATGAGTTCTGACCAACCTTGGGTACATAAACCCTGCCTTAAAAAACAAAACAAAACGAAACAAAAGCAGGCCAGGCAGTGGTAGCAGCTAGGCAGACCTCTGAGTTCAAGGACAGCCTTGGCTACATAGAGAAACAAAACAAAAACAAAAGCAAAAAGAGTTTATTAGGGTTCCCCTTCTCTGATTATAAAATTGAGGCATTAGAAAGCAAGAGCTGCATGTGACCTGTGGTCTGCTCCAAACACACTTTCCTTACTAATCTCATTAAACTAATTTGGTGAAACAAAACAAACTAGGCATATGTAACTGAAAGCTCTATCTATATACAGAATCTAAGCTGTTTATACTTTGCAACCCTGCAAAAGTATTTCATCTATAGTTTACCATAAGTCACTTACATAAGAGAAATAATATCTAATATCGTTTTCTGTTTTTAATGTGTGCACAGCTTGAGGTGTTGTTCCTTGGGTGTCTTATTTGTTTTTTTTTTCCCATTTATGTCCATCTGTTTGTGTTTGTTAAATATATGCTACATGTGTTCTATGTCCAAGGAGACCAGGAAGCTTGCAGATTATTTTGGCTAGCCAATGAGCCCCAGAGCTTTCCTGTCCCCACCTCGCCATGCTCGACTATAAGCACTCACTACCATGCCTAGCTTTGTCACATGGGCTCTGGAGATCAACTGTCAGCTGAGCAAGCTGCTCAACCCCAGTATCTGATAAATTACCATACTTAAGCAACTTTATTAATCAACTTAAGCAACCTTATTAATACAGAAGGTATTGGCCACCATTTCCTAGTTTTACTGTATTCCTGTGCTGGAACTCAGAGAAAGAAGCCCTTAGGGCAGCAAATCTGCAGAATGCATAGCAAGCTCCTTTCCAGGCACAGAGCAGGAGACAAACTGCCTAACCAGCAACTTACTTCTACAGAATCATCTTCATCTGCTTACCTCCCGTGATGAATTGGCAAGTGTTTCCTATGAATCCCATGACTTCCTTCCACAAAAGCATTTGGAGGTTTATGGTATACAGAAGCCAAAGAACCAATGTGGCAGATGAGCTCATCCAGGAGGGTAGGCTCAATGAGGTCTGTCTCCTCAGAGATCAGCGGCTTCTCAGACAACACTACTTCCTTGGCTGTCACAGGGTCAGTTGAAAGAAGGCGCCAATAAATATAACCCCGATCTCGAAGGTCAGGGTTATCAGAATCCTAAAGCAAAGCAAGGGCAAAAACAATCAGATGGATCTGGCTCAACAGAGACACCAACATGCCGGGCTTACTGTCAAGGCACTACTGTAATGACTTATGCAGATTAGCTAAAAAGATATTTCACTTGGATTTAATAATAGTTTGTAGTTATAACTCTATATGTCTAATGTTTCAAGGAATGTAAACATATACTGAGATGAGTTAATGTTCAGACTCAACTGCAAAGACAAGCTGAGAAGAAAAAAGCCACTTTAATTCAGCGATAGTTAAATGGCCTTGGGAAATAAGAATAGTATTTTAAATTGTTATATTAAGGTCGGTTGGGATAGCCTGTGGGTGAAGGCACATGCTGCTAAGCCTTGTGACCTGATTGTCAACCACTGAGACCTATATGGAAAGAGAACTGACTCCCCACAAGTTGTCAACTGACTTCTATAAGCATAGTGTGACATGTGTGTGCATAGCACACATACACAAAAATAAAAATATGTCATTCTTTTAAAACGGTTTTTTAATTTTACTTGTACCAGTGTCCTGCCTGCATATATGTAAGTATACTATGTGCATGCAATACCCACAAAGGACAGAGGAGGGCGTAAGAACCCCTGGAACTAGAATCACAAATAGCTGTAATGGCTGTTGGTGCTGGGAAATGAACTCAGATCCTTTACAAGAGCAATAAGTACTCTTAACCATTAAGTCATCTCTCTAGCCCTCCTGTGTCAGCTTAAACAAAACCAAAACTGTTACATAAGCAGCATGTGGATGCATGCATCTGTTAATTCCATTACTCAGGATACTGAGGAAGGAGGATTGCAAGAATCTAAGGGCAGCCTGGGGTATATGCTGACAACTGGGTCAGTTAGGGCTACATAGTAAGACTCCATCTCTACATTAATTGATAAAAATTAATAAATATGGCCATACGTATTAGCAGGAATAGTTCTAACATATATTCTACCTTACATCTATTTTTCAATTTTTTTTATTTTTACTTATAAGTATGTGTCTACTTGTTTGTGTGTGTGTGTGTATGTGTGTGTGTGTGTGTATATATATATATATATATATATATATATATATATATATATATATATATTACATACAGAGCCTCCAGAGACCAGAGATGGTTATCAGATCTCCTGGAGCTGGAGTTACAGACATTGTGAGCCACCATGTGGATGCTGGGTATTGAACCCAGTTCCTTTGCAAGGATAGCAAGTGCTCTTAACTGCTGAGCCAACTCTCCAGCCCCATAATTCCCTTCTAGATTCAAATATCTATATGCATCTCCTAAGGAGAAGTCATAGTAATAAAAAGGGACTACATACAATGCTCATGAAGATACTATTAATTAAAACAAAAACTACCCCCCCACCATGACACAAGTGCTTTCAAAAGGAGCAACCCTTGAACTTAGTGGTCTTTTTGTTATGGTTTTGAAATAATTTTATGCATGTTCACAACTTTAAAATAATTTATACTCTGCTGAGGATAGAGGCACATGCCTTTAATCCCAGTACAGGGAAGGCAGAGAAGGTAATTTATCTGAGTCCAAGGCCAGCCTGATCTACATAGCGAGACCCTTGTCTTGGAAACAAAAACAAAAACAAATTATAATTGTGCCACACTGAGATTTACAAGGGTTTAAAATGCAATAGAAATCTCTACAATTATCCTATCCCTTCTCACTCTCAACTCTCCACCTCCAATAACCATGGCTAGCATCCTGCATGTGCTTTTGGCATAGGAATCAGTTTCATATTATACACACTGCTCCATAAGCCACTTTCATACATATCCATACACATAATAAAAGTTAAAATAAAAATTTTAAATGTTTCCAAGAGTACTTACAAATGAGTTTTTAAGATGTAAAATCAGTATTAGGAAAATTACAGCTCAGAACTAGGCAAAGTAATATAGAAGGGATTGAAATTTGATAATATGCCATTAGAAACAGATGAAAAAGACAAAAATGGTTAATATTTGAATCAGATTCTATGTGTAGATACACATCTTAACTGACAATTGTATTAAAGCCAGCCTGTTCTCATATTCAATTAAAAACATTACTTTGATGGACTAGTGAACATTGTATTAGTTACAACTATAAATATGAAATTATTTTGACTTCTATGGATCTGAACTAGTGACCTGATTTCCTTTTCCACTGCTTTGAACGCAGGGCCCTGTGCATGCTAGGCAAGTACAAAATGACTGGACTATATCTCCAGTACTTCAACAATTTTTGAAAAACTTATTTTGAGATAGAGTCCCACTAAGTTTCCCAGGAAGACCTTGAACTTGTTATCCTCCTGACTCAGCCTCCCCAGTAGTTGAAATTACAGGCCTGTGACACCAGGTCTGACTGTGACCAATAGCCACATTCCCAAATTAGAATCCACTTGAACCCCTTTTCTTTTGACCAGAAATATCTTCTGTGATGGTTAGGGTTGACTGTTAACTTGATAGGATACGTAATTACCTGGGAGATGGGCCTCTGGGCATGCCGGGGAGGGGAGGCTTAGTATGTTCATTATGGTAACTGATATACATAAAAAGACCCGTTTTAACTGTGGGAGGGGATCCTGGTGACATGGCTGAAGAAAGGGAAATGGACAGCTCTTTGTTCCGGACCGCAGATACAATGTGACCAGCTCCCCCAGTTGCTGTTCCTGTGATTTCCGCTCATGCTGGATTGTAATGTAAACTGTGAGCCAAAACAAACCCTTTCTCCCAAACATCGCTTGTTAGAGTACTTTTGTTTGAGACAGGGTTTTTTCTGTGTAGCCCTGGCTGTCCTGGAACTCACTCTGTAGACCAGGTTGGCCTTGAACTCACAGAGATCCACCTGCCTCTGTCTCCTGAATGCTGGGAACAAAGGTGCGTGCCACCAAGAGAATCGTCATATAATTTGAGTATCAAAACATTTAAGGAAACAGCATAAGCACTTTAAAGTTATCTCTGAAAGGTGCCTCTCTAAAAGGTAGATGAAGCACACAGCATTTCATATGAAAACTGACATCACCTACAAGATAGTAGTACTGTTTTATCAACAATATGAAATTTTCAAAATTATCATGTAAACTGGAGTCAGTTGATCCACTTTTTTATTTTTAAATTTATTTTATGTGTACATGTGTGTGCCTGGGTGTACGTATGCATGCCACATGTGTGCAGGAGCCTGCATAGATCAGAAGAGGTATGGAATCCATGGAGATGGAGTTACAGTTGATTGTAAACTACTATGTGGGACCCAAACCAGGTTCTCTGTGAGAACAACAAATGCTCTTAAGTGCAGAACCACTTCTCTAGCCTCAGTCAACTGAACTAAAAGCTGCATTAGCCAAATATAATTTAGCAGAATTTGTTAAGAGGCAGAATTTTAATAGTTTCAGAATTAAAACCTGCCCCAAATGTGTCTTCTTGGGAAGTTTCCTGGCTAGTTTTATTTCAACTTAACACAAGCTCGAGTCATCTGTGAAAAAAATGCCTCCATGTACAGGGTGGTGGTGCACACCTTTAATCTCAGCACTCCAGGGGCAGAGGCAGGTGGATCTCTGTGAGTTCAAGGCCAGTCTGGTCCACAAGATCAGACTGTAAGCAAGCATACAGGGCATTTTCTTAATTAGTGATTGATAGGGAAGGGCCCAGTCCATTGTGGAAAAGGCCAACCCTGGGTCAGTGATCCTGGGTTCTATAAGAAGGCAGGCTGAACAAGCCATAAGGAGCAAGTAGCCCTGCAAGCAGCACCCCTCCATGGGCTCTGCATCAGCTCCTGCCTCCAGGGTCCTGCCTTGGCTTTCCTCAGTGGACTATGATTCAGGATGTGTGAGCCAAATAAAGCCTTTCTTCCCTCAGTTCACCACAGCAAAAGCTGCCTTGAATAAGACAAGATGTATCATCGATTCTCACAATCTGAAGCAGCACAAATCACCCTTCCAGATGCTCTCTTACCTGTGTGGCCAAACTCAAGACCTGTTGGACTAACTCCTGTGTTTCTGATGGCTTCTTGAGAAACAGCTTCACGATGGCGGTAAGCAGAGTGAGCTGAACCTGAAAAAACAAAATTCAGCAAAGTAAATGACAGGTGGCATCTCATTTTCTCAACTCTGAATTACTGATGTTGTTAAGAGATGGAAGGTGAAAGCTCAGCCAATGTAATGAACAGCAGCCAAAAGTGATCTCTGAAATAAAGGAATCAACTGAACATATATATACCAGGCTCTAATTTTCTAGTTGCATTTTTGCATCAAAAAACAACTTGTTTCTGGGCCAGATTTTCAACTGTTTTTTTTTCTCTTTAATAAAACAAATATAATTATTGTGTGTACATGATATGTGTGTTGGTGTGTGTGAGTACATGTATCACAGTGCACATGGGGAGGTCAAGGACAACTCTGTAGAGTCATTTCTCTTCTTCCACCTTTACATAGGGTCCAGGGATCAAACTCAGATTGTCAGGCTTGTGCAACAATCACCTCTGAGCCAGCCCTCAATTACATATTCTTTTTAAAGTACATACATAAAATAATAAAACTGGCTCTTGATCAAATTGTGTATTATTTACTTTGGTCAACGCTTACAAGTTTGAAAGACTTATGAAATCACTTGTCATACTGGGGTAAGAGCCAAAATAGAATTATGTCAGATTAGAGCCAATTAGAGGGAGCATGCAGTGCTACTATTAATATTAAGCCTATTAAAATTACTATATTGAATTACATACACAAACTTCTATTTGCTATGAGCACAAATGCCAGAGAGAAAAGGCTTAATAATCTGGCTGCTTCTCTGCCTATGACTCTAATTTTATAGGAGAGAGGAACAGATGGGGAGAAATCTAATCATCCACAGAGAATCTTTTCAAACCTCACCATGCTGTACTGTAATGAGCAACAGCAAACGCTAAGGACAATATGTAATCATCCTTAAGTGACAGAAAATAAGAACCTGATTAATGCTCTAAAGCAGTGCAGGGAAGCTCACTTCAGGGAGCAACACCCGAAGCAGGTCAGAGATGAGGCTACACAGGTGAGTCTTATTCTCTGGGACTGAGGACCAGCAGCTAGTGTTTCAAAAAGCCCCCAAATGTTCCAATGGCCATTAGAGTCTACAAACCACTGGTCTAAGCTTTGCAGTTCTCTTACGTGAGAAACCAGGACTGATCAAAAGGACCACCCCCTACAAGAAAGAGAAACCCTGCCATATAAACGCACACAAGATACAACCCACTGTTCTCCATTCTCGGTTATCTTCGTGGAGAGATGTAGGACACAGGATAGAAAAGAACCTACCTGTGTGCTTTCATCATGAAAACCCTCCAGGAAGCTCTCTAGTAACTCATCCGCATTATCAATTCTTTCGGCATATTCTCCTACAATCCAAATCATGGCTGCCCGAGCATCAGGCTCATCCAGGGAGTCCAAGTTCTCACAGAGAGTAGCAATGATACTTTCATACCTAACAACAAATGGACTGTGGTTATTAAGGATAAAACTAAGAACTGTATTTAACAGTGGAAGCTAGAATCAAAACCATACACTAGGGACTCCAAGCCAAATCACCAAATTACAAGGGTTTTTAGTCAACACAATGTAGTAAGTCAGAAATTTATGGTTTAAATTTTTCTTCAAATATGCTTTAAAAATATCTTTTAGATTTACTTTATTATTTTATGTACATGAGTGTTTAGCTCACATGTATGTGTCTGAACCACCACATGCAGGCCTGGTACCTGCAGAGGTCAGAAGAGGGCACTGGATCCTATGATCCTATGGGAATGGAATTAAATGTGACTATGAGCCACCATTCTTCAATTACGTCTCTCTCCTCTCTCTCTCTTTCTCTCTCTTTCACTCCCTTCCTCCCTCCTTCCCTTTCCTTCTTTTTTTTAAGACAGGGGCTTTCTGTATAGCCCTGGCTGTCTTGTAATTCACTATGTAGATCAGACTGGCTTTGACCTTATAGAAACCCAACTGTCCCTGCCTCCTGAGTGCTGGTACTAAAGGCATGAGCCACCAATAACTAAGCTTTAAACTTTTACAAGAGTCCAGGAGACAGACTTTCACAAGGAAAATAAATTAACCTGTGGTATAAGAAAATCCTACTACCTTGTGTTTAAAACCAATCTTTCTTTAAGTACAATAGAGAATTTTCCTAGTATGCCTTCACGGTAGAAAACATTAGAAATCTCACTTTCTTTTTAGGAAGATGGATTTAGAAAGCACAGTCCTGCAGTGGTCATTCTAGTTTCATGTGTATGTTTTTACATGACTGTGCACATGCGTATGGGGTTGACATGAAGTATTTCCCTTGATAGCATGTTCTACTTGAATACAGGCAAGGCCTCTTTCTGAAAACAGAGCTTCTCAATGCAGCTAGTCTAGCTAGCCAGATTGCCCAGATATTTTTGCTTCCTGGCACTAGGTTTACAAGCAAGGCATCAAGCAGGCCTGACTTTTTCTATGGGTGGCAGAGATTGGAACTCCAGCCCCCATGCTTGGGCAACAAGAGCTGTATCTAAGCAAGCCCCCAACCCTTTTACTTTTTCTAATGCACATATTCTAATGACCTGCTTCTATTAATAATCTATTACCTTCACTAATATAAATTTAAAAATTCTATTACTGAGGACTGAACCTAGGACCTAGCACATGCTACGCAAACTCTTTCCCAATGAGCTTTATCCCCAGCCTTTTATTTCCTTTGTGTTTTTAAAACAGAGCGTTGCTAAGTTGCTGAGGCTGGCTTGAACTTGTGCTTGTCTTGCCTTAGTCTCATGAGTAGCTGAGATTATAGGCCTATGACACCAGGTTCAGCTGGCTATCGTAATTTTAAAACGCACACACACATGCACTCTGAACTTCTTGTCTTCAGAATCAAAGTATTTGCTTTATTATTTTTGTTTTATAAACTAAGAACCCTCAATCTGAAATTTTGTGACATGGAAATACAGGCTGTGTGAAGGCAGCTACAACACTTCAGAAGAGAGCAGAGGGGGGTAATTCATTCCAATAAACTCTACAATTTCCCACAAAGTAGCAGGTGCCATGAGAAGTAAAGAGCATGGCTGTTACTGCCCTGCTTTTGTGGAAAAGTGGCCACACGATCCATGTATCATATTAAGACCCTTCTGAGAGGATATAATATGTAATCACCTGTCAAGCATAAAGAGAGTCCAGACAACAGGGGACTCCTGTTTAATGGTAACTGCCAACAGACAATATATACTCAAGCAGAGCTTCATTTTTACAAAAATAATAAAGCAGCTAATTGTGGTGGCTCATGCTTGCAACCCCATCCCATCTCTAAATGAGAAATTTATTCTCTGTTAGCTGCTCACTATATATATATATATATATATATATATATATATATATATATATATCTTTTAGTAAAGAAACTACTATGACCAGTTATAGAAAGAATAATAATTCTTACCAAGTCCATTTCAAAGTGCCTTACTTAAACATTTCCCAAATGATTTGAGAAAGAAGGTTACAAGAATTTTGACATACTTGTTGGGGTATTTGCGGAAGATGTCCCTGATGACAACAATTGCCTCTTGGACCACATAATTTACTTTGGTCTGGATTAAATCAAGCAATGTGCTTACACAGCGTTCTGCTGATTGCTAGAGAGAGCAACATCAAAACATAAGTCAGGTGATCTATCCAATAACACTATCTCAACACAAAAAAGAAAAAAAAAGGAAACATACAGATACATTCACTAAATTAAATAGGCACTGGATTTGTTAAAGCTATACTAGAGGCTAGGTCATCAGTTGTATATCAATATTAGAAAGTCTAGGAATATACCAGCATTTATTCATTAGAAAACAAATTGAAAAATGTTTTTGATTTGGTTTTCTGTGTTTTGCTAGGAGCAAACTTAGGGCCTCACACAAACTCGTCAAGAGCTCTACCACTGAACTATACCTCTATCTCCCAGATAATTCAGTTAAATGAATAAACATTAACCTGGATAACTTGAAGAACAGAAATAAGAAAAATTAGCCAGGAGAGAAAGGCAATTAAAGGATACATCTAAGTGGGAGGTCCTTAACTGGAATTCTTATGTGAACACAGACTGCATGGAGTGTGTTGTTGGTGTTTTAAAAACAGATTTCTTCGTTGGTCTTTCTCTCCTCTCCTCTACCCTCCCTTCCCCTCCCCTCCCCTCCCCACGTCTCTCTTCTTCCTACCTCTGTATTTGTGTGTCGTGGAATATTTGTTTAACCTGGTAAAGATGTGTTATATTTGTTTAGGCTGCATTTGTTTAACTATGTAAAGATATGTTAATTAAATAAAATTAACCCTTGTTCAGAGAAGTGGGGTTAGCAACTAGTTTCCCCAGGAGCCTTATGATAGAATGAAAGAACCAACTCCTTCAAGTCCTCTGACCTCCATCCACATAATATACTCTGGCACATACCGCCCCTCAAACATACACAAATGTAAAAATAAATAGAATACCTAAGGACACATATTGCCAAAAGAACACAAAATTAAAGACAGGCATAGTGGTTCATGTCTGGAATCCTACATGTGAGAAAGGAACTGTAAGTTTGGGGTTAGCCTGGGCTGTACAGTAAGACCCTGTCTGAAAAAGAAAAACCAATAAAGGCCCCCAAAATGCTTGGTAGAGGAGTGGGGTGTGTTGAAAAGATAAAATCCGTAACTAACAAATCAATAAAACTAAAATTATTTATAGATATGAACATACAAAAAAACAAAGTTTAAAAAAGAGTTAAAAGTGATACTTTTGGGGAAATGGTTCTAGGTAAAGAAGGGGGAGAACCAAGGACAGCGGCTTTTCATTAAAAATTCTTCAATCTGGGGCCAAGAAGACTCAGGGGTTAAGAGCAAAAATGGCTATTCTTCCAGAAAACCTTGGTCAGATTACAAGCACCCACAGGTGCATCGTCACCAACAGATGGTCTGTAACTCTAGTTCGAGGGGGTCCAACACCCTCTTCTGGCTTACAGAGGTACTTAGCACACATGGGTACACAGACATAATGCAGACAAAACACACATAAACATTAAATTATTTAGTTCATTAAGTATATCCTTTCTTATTTTGATAAATTTCAAAACATACATACTCTAAAATAATGAACACTCAGAATCCCATACGTGTGATCTCAACTCCTCTGGAGCCTTACCTCCACTTTGATGGCACACCGTCCAATGGCCCTCACAGCTTTGCGAACAAAGTCCACGTCGACCTCAGTGGCATATTCCTTCAACTCTGCCAGGACCTGTCAAATAGCCAAGAAGTGAACAATCTTTAAAAAGTCTCAAACAGCAATTTCATGCCTTCTGAATGCCAGATCTTAAGCTCTAAGTCAGTATAAATTTGAGACGGCTTCAGGTCAGACCTGAGCAATGTTGGCTTGGGATGCAAGACGAATCATGATGTCCAACTTCTCTAGTTTAACATAGATAGGATCATTGTACTTCACAAAGAAGACTTTGATTTCCTGCTTCAAGATTTCAGGCCTGTGATGCACAAAAACACAAGAAAGGAAGATGACAGAATGTATTTACTGACAAATCTTGCTCAGCCTTTCTGCCTGCTTCAGGGGGAGAAAATCCCTCACAAGTATCCTGTATAAGCCTCTACTGTGCCTACCCCACCCCCACCCCACCTCCATATAGTATCAGCACTACTATATAACATTTTTACTTCCATGAAGTAAAGCTGGTTGTCAAGCTCAGTGCCCAGCATGTTCTAGGCAAGCATTCTACCATAAAACTACACTCCCAGCCCATCTGTTCTCCATCAATCCCTTCTGACATCTAATTCGCATCCTCTCAAAGAAAGAGTGGTGTTACCTCAGAGATCTGCTGAGGAAGAACAACCTGGTTCTCAACTACAACCTTCCATGGGTAGCATGTCCAAAAGAAGCACTTAAGAAAGCAACCTGGCAGCCGAGGGTGGTGGTGGCTCACACCTTTAATTCCAGCACTCAGGAGGCAGAGGCAGGTGGACCTCTGTGAGCTACAGACCAACCTGGTCTACAAGAGCTAGTTTCAGGACAGCCTCCAAAGCCACAAAGAAACCCTGTCTCAAAAAATAAAAAAAGAGAGCAACCTGGCTGGGTGTGGTGACACACACCTTTACTCCCAGCACTTGGAAGGCAGAGGCAGGTGAACCTCTGTAAGTTGAGGCCAGCCTGGTCTACATAGTGAGAGCCTGATTCCCAAAAAAAAAAAAAAAAAAATCAAACAAATAAAAACAACCCTGAACTGCAACACCAGATAATTACTACTGAAAGAATGATAATAACTGTTAAGTTGCTATTCCTGGACAAGCTGTGCTACTATATAACATTTTCACTTCCACACAGTAAAGAACAAAAGAGATTAGCATCAATCTATGGTGAATTTATATTACTTCAAGATCACAAACATTTTAAAATCACCAAATCACTATTTCCCCACCTTTTCTGGACAATTAGGTTGATGTTTCTCAGGGCGACATACTGCACTTCTGGCTCCCCAGACAGCAGAGTGACAAGTGGAGGCGCTAACTTCTTCAGCAGCATATTGTAGTAGTCAGAGTCCTTGGGTAACAACTCTAAGAATTTCATGAGGACTTTCACGGCTGAAAGCACCACGGCAGAGTTGGCATGGGATAGCCGAGGAGTTACTCGCTCACAGATGCTGGGGGTAGAAAGGGAAAACGAGAATCCTGGATTTTGGTAGCTTTGCTCAATTCATTCCATAAAGTAACGCTTCAGAATTCCAGGGCCCAAGTATCAAGAAATCAAAGATCCAGTTAGAAAAGTCAAAGCTCCATGCTTAGGTCAAAATGGGATCCAACACCGCAAAAGCTTCGTGCCCAGCAGACTATAGGCAGAGCAGGGGCATCAGGAGACTTTAGAAGCCAGCGACAGGGATACCCAAATCGGAAGGGAACTAGCAATCCCCCAGACACTTGCACTCACACCAGTTACCTTCTTGATTTAAGGCCACTGTCTCCCCACATAATGTTAGGGCTCCCTGCCTCACAGCTCATCTCTACTCAACCTATAGGAAGTCAAACCAAGCATCCTGAAAATTAATTCATAGTGAGAGGTGTCACCAACCCATGACTTAAAGAAAAAGTGGGTTGGCAGTAAAACTACGCAGCCTCTTGTGTTCAAGCTTACTAGTAAGAAAATCTTGGAAACTGATGAGGTGGTTGTTTTGTTTGGGTTTGGTTTTTAGTATCAGAATATTATTGTAATGTTCTCCCCTTCTTTTTCTAGCCCCTATTGCCTATTTTTAGACACTTTGTAGAATCTTGATATTCACACTTGAGGGTTCTCTGAAATCAACCTAACTTTGCTAGCTCTTGGGCAACACCACAAGTGACTGTTTACAATGTTAAAGAGACAAGATGAGTGGCTGCTTACTCTCTTCTTCCTATGTCCACAAGGCTAACTCCTGACCTCCTCCAGGCCTTTAAAGAAAAGTCCACTCTCTCATAGAGACCTTCCTGATTACTATTTTTAAAAAGTATAATTCCAAAAGGTAAAATAAAAAATAAAACCTGGCCAGATGTGTTGTGCACAGCTTTAATTCCAGTTCTTGGGAAGCAGTGGCAGATGAATCTGAGTTAAGAAGTCATGGTCTGTATGGAAAGTTTGAGTACAGCCAGGGCTACATATCAAGATCCTGTCTCAAAGAACAAATAAACAAAACAAGTATCGAGGCAGGAGGATCACAAGTTTGTGGCCAGCCCAGGCTATATGCATAGGCCCTGACTTAAAACAAACAAAAACTATGGAGATGGGGGATTCTCTCTATACTCTATTACTCTAAAACATCTGGAATTTCTTGGATCTTCATATTACCTCTGTTAGCAGTCATGACATATGACCTATTATATATTTTACTGAATATCCATATCGTAGAAACTTCTACCCCTCCACTCCTCAGAATCAACGGTACACGAGGACCATAATTTTTGTCTGTTTACTGTGGAATCTTCACAGCCTAGAACAGAACCTAGCACATGGCATGGGCTTAAGTATTTGTTGAGTGAATTAATGAATGTAATGTCAGTGGCCAACAATAAAATTCTTCGTAAAGTTCTCTCCAGAATATAACTGTGCTTTCAGTGATGGAAAGAAACTACCAGCAGTTTTATTAGTTAAGTCCAGAGGGAATCATTTCCCAGACAAGTGAAGAGAACTTACATTCTAGTAGCTTGGGAATCAGCTTCAGCCAGGCAAGGAAGGTTCTTATCTACCATAATTAAAATATGTCAACTTTAATGAAGAGCCAGAAATTCTTCAGAAGTACTTTGCCTACTCTAGTGCTTATATATACAACATGCTCGATTTAAAAATGGGTATAAGTCCAACTTTGTAAACTGAAATCTGCAACATGTAAGTGGTAAAGGGCTGAGGGAAACAATCAAGACTCTCTTAAAAGCTGCCAACGTAGTCTAACATGTCTTCTGTGCACAATGGCAAGACACATATGCACTGCTGACTTTAATATACTTAACCTAATACTAAAGTATAGTTATTGTTCAGCTCAAAAACTAGTAAGAAGAATCTAACAGAATAGACAGCATGTCATTACAAGGACAGACATAACTTTTGTTTACCAAATGACCAGGAATTGAGAGGTAGGTGACAGTATGAAGGAGATTTCAGAAACAACTAAATTCTTTTTGGTGTGGTTTAGCACTCACAGTGTTCCTAAATCCATTGAAAAAACTTGCTGGGGATAGCAGTGTCCCCTAAATCCTCTGCCTTCCCAGTCTGATAGTCTCTTATTCAGTCAGGCAAGACCATCACTAATGTCCAGTAAGAAAGACTGACCTCTGAGCTTCCCGATCATCTTTAGGGTTGTAATTAGACAGGCAGTCCAGGATGAAAATCTGGCCCCATTCAGTGCACTCATTCAGGGCTGTGAGCAGCTTATTGATATTCTGAGGGTTCAGATCAAGTAAGTTGCTGTTTGGGTGAGATTCACTGATCTCAGACAATGCTGCTACAGCATTAGCCACCACCTGTGAAAGAAACAGAGAATGACTTTGACATACTCAGAAAACCAAAACTATGACACACTAACAGCTTTGGTAAGATCACTTCACAGCTCTCAATTCACTCCTAAACATTTCACCCAGTCAGACAGAAACAGATGAACTGCTTTCAAAACATGCATTCAGCCACCACTGACAGCATATACAACTTCTGAGCGTCGCACACTCCAGAATTAAAGTAATCATGTATTAGTAAAGTCACAGGAGATTCACTACTGAAACACTAACCAATGAAGCAACACTCAAAACTGTTGCTATCATATCAATACCTATAAAAAAAAAAAAAAAAAACAAAGCTAAATTGGTGCTTATACCTGTAATCCCAGCACATGAGTGGCTGAGGTAAAGAGGATACTTTCAAGTTTGGGATTATCATGGGCTAACTACAAAGTGAGCACTGGACTAAAGAATGACACCTCACAAAACCAACAAAGACAAAGTAAAATCTCAGGAAATATTTGCATATTTGCATTATATAACAGAGAAAAATCTAGGCAAGACTAAGTAGACTTGAAACCAGAATTCATTAGTACACAATACTAGAGGAACACACAATCTCCGTACCACGTGGCTTGCTCATTGGGAGAACAAGCTAATTTTAGCTTGAGGATACAAGTTCAGTGATATTATACATTAAGAAATATTTACAAGGCTGGAGGGATGGCTCAGCAGTTGGAAGCACTGGCTGCTCTTCCTGAGTTAAATTCCCACATAGTAACTCAAAATTGTCTGTAACTCAGGTTCCAGGAGATCTGACACACTCACACAGGCATACATGCAGGCAAAACACAAGTGCATATAAAATAAGAATAAATCATTTAAAAAATGTTTTTCATCTTAGGCATTTAATCCCACACTTTGGAAGCAGAGGCAGGTGGATCTCTGAGTTTGAGGCCAGCCTGGTCTACAGAGTTGAGTTCTAGGACAGCCAGGGCTACACAGAGAAACCTTGCCTCGAAAAACAAAAACGAACAAAAATTTCGTAATGCCTTATACATGAAAGTAAACAGAAAGTAAATACCTAAGAGACAGTGATTAAAACACAGTACAGTGTAGCAATAGCCATCATTATGCAGAAGATAAGGATGACAGAAACGGAATTTTCTTAAGCTATAATTTGGCGATCAGGACAAAAAGCCCCACATGAAAAGAATCAAAGACTTACTTAGTAAATATTGGACATTTTGTTGCCACAAAACAACCTGACCTAATATGTCATCTATAATAATATACATGAGCTTCTTTTCTCAAATGCTTTTGCTCACTCCATCCTTGTGCATGAGATTTAGTACAAGTAGAATGCATAAACAATGAACCCCAGCATGGCAGGTGAAGGCAGAAGGATCCATGGTTCAAGGTTATCTTCTGCTCCATAAGAAGTCTGAGGGTAACCTGGGGTATATGAGACCCTGTCTGCAAACAAACCACCCCCAAACAAACCAAAACAATAATCATTCCCAGGTACTTCACATGCAGGGAAAATAATTTATTTCCCCATGCATAGTAGGCTTCACTGACTTTATTTAAAAAAAAAAAAATTACAATGTTTTATGTCAACTGCTTATTTTGACTGCTCTGTCAACACATACAATTCTGGTCTTACCATAATTACCATTTCTGTCAATGTACCTCCCCACCCCCACCATCTGTGTGTGTGCGCGTGCGTGCGTGTGTGCATGCGTGCACAGTTTAAAATTAAATAGAAACATAGAAATTTTAAGATGAGAACTGAAGAACTAAAAATAAGACACAGAGAGAATAGAACGATACTAAACACAATGAGGAATTAGAATCCCCTAGTTACCATTATAGGTGATTAGAAATTAAAGCAAGTGTGTAATGCAGTTAATGAAGGGTAAGCTCTGGTGCTTAAATAGGCAATATCTACTTACTGTCATATTAAAACAAGAAAGGAAATACTGAAGAGTCAGCTTAATAAAAATATACAGAAAGTTCAGATCAGAGAACCATGCTGAACAAAGCCTGTCACTGATCAAGTCACTGCCACAGTGACAGGGCAGAAAAGACGCTCTCCCACCCTGCACCAGACTTCCTGTTCCTGTAAAACTCCGTTTGGCTGTAGAAAGAAAATCCAAGATGCTGGAGAGCAAAACAAATTAATCAAGGAAGAGACTAACTCTGGAGAACACTTCATTCAAAAGTGCATTGTCTTCCTGCAAACATACTTCTTTCAAACATGCTTCTAAAATTCTGGTGTTTGTGAAAAAATCGTAGGAGCCATTTTCCTGCAGTTCCCAGTGTGTCTTCTTTCTGAAGACACAATTACTTACAAAGTGGGCTAGTAAAAGCCACACCTGAAAGTATGCTTAACTCTAATGTTATCACAAGATTTTATTCTATCAAAATGCAGGGGTAATAAATTAATGTGGATAATGTTGATCTTGGCCTAATATCTACTTCATAATTACAGTAGCAGCTACCTTCTGGCCATATACCAGGTACTCTACTAGAGTACTTTAACAGAGATCCACCTGCTTCAGTCTCTCAAGTACTGGGATTAACGGCATGTAACACCACCGCCCAGCTAGAATCTTTTAATATGAGAATAAAATGTAAGTCAAGAGCTGATAATGCTTGGAGTTGTATCAGCTCTGAGTACTAGCATTGGTGTGCTTTGCCGTAAGTAATAAAGCTTTCTTTTCTTTTACTTCTGTCATTTTTGAGGTTAAAACATACCCCATTTCCCTGTAGTTATTTTATTACTTTATTTAAAGCTGACTCTCAGTGTCCTAGTTGACAGAGGAAGGGCTAGCTCTGAGGTAAAAACTGCTGGACTATTTAGTGCTTGCTTTATGCTAATGCTGCTTTAATCTTCTGTTTCCTCTTCTGGAAAATGGGTTGAGAGTAAACAGGCTAGAGAGAAGGCTCAATGGTTAAGAGTGCATGCTGTACTCCAAGTTCAGCAGCTTCTACACCTTAACTGACTGTAATTCCAGCTTCGGGAACTCCTATACCCTTTTCTTGCCTCTGAGGACTCCACATTCATGTGTGTGTGCATGTATGTGCGCACACACACACACTTAAAAACACACACATATAATTAAAAATAATTTTTTAAAATATAAAAAAACTTAGGCCAGGGCTGGTTAATGCACATCTTTAATCCAAGCAATGGAGAGGCAGAGACATGCAGTTTTCTGTGAGTTTGAGGCTACCATGATCTATATAGTGAGTTTCTGGCCAGCCAAGGCTACATAGAGAGACCTTTTCTTTAAAAAAGAGTGAGTTCCAGGACAGCTAGGGAGCTTATACAGAGAAACTCTGTTTTGAAGAGCCTCCCTACCCCTCACCTCCACGTGCCAAAACAAAAGATTCTGAAGTCCTTTCTGCAAATGCTCTGAGCTTTCCTCTCAAGGAAGTCACTGTGAACTGTAAGAACACTAAGGTGGGGTCTCATGTCCTTTAAGACAACCTAGCCTTGGTTGGTACAGTGCTGCCACCATGTGGGACAGCCTGAGAAAAGATGGAAGAAAATCACTAACAAAGGATAAGAACTCATCCCATAATTAGAGGAAGAATACATTCATAGTAACAGTACACAGATAATTAAAGACTTTCATGTATTCAAACTCTAAACCATTTTGAAAAGGTGAAAACTCAAAAGACCTAAGTGTGTGGGGTAAGTGTACACTTGTTTGTTTCTTTACATATACCCATGAAGGTAGTGATCAGGAATAGGTTTGAGACTCCGAACCAGGCTGCAATCCTGGCTGCATTTCAACTAGCCACATCACATCGAGACAGTTCAGTCACTGAGTGAATGTTGCTTGACCTGAAACATGGGAAGACTTCTACTTCAGACAGACATGAAAACAAAGTGAAGTATTTTACATAAAAGCATTCATCATGGTGTGTAGCACGCAAGCATTACATATTAAATTTCTCTTTTCAAGTGACACAGAACCATGGCCTTAGGAGGTGTCTGAGCTAGTATGCTAACAGGCCACCACTATACCTCAGATGCTACTGACCACTCATGCACTTGGTCTACTTGTTATTTATATCTTATCCCACTGATAAAAGGAAAACCGGGTGCTAATTCTAGCATTTAGTTAAGGTTACATTTCAGTAACTAAGTCTAGGGGTGTGTGAAGAGAGGTCATCTAGAATGTGAGTTTTTCATAAACTTACCAAGTAACCTTAAATTGTTTTCTATAAATCTCCCCAAACATACTTATAAAGTCTCTCCAAATCACCTCAACTTGTTGCTATAAAGTGTCACCAACAATCAGGAGTGATGGCAATACTAGTCTTCAAGAGACTGAGACACTGAGACTGACATGACAGTTCAAGGCTGACCTAGGCTGAGTAGTGAATTCCAACACATTCTGGGCTGTACAATGAAAACAAACATCAATGTCAACTCTTGGGGAGTGTGTGTGTGTGTGTGTGTGTGTGTGTGTGTGTGTGTGTGTGTGTGTGTGTGTGCGCACGCGCGCACGCGCGTGCGTATGTATAAAATACCTCTCCTCTGCAGAGGAAGCTTAGATCAGCAAACTAGGTATGCATGTTCTCTTCTGACCTGATACAGATCTTCCAGGGTTATCTGGATTTCAAATCCCATTTCTTCACAAACAAAGCATCTGACTGTTGTGCTTTCCAGTGCTTACACCCTAAAATTTATTATGTTTCGTAAAGGAAGAATTTACGTGAGTGTAGAGGCACCTTTTCCCCTTCAATCTAGAATTGCTTGTAGGAGTTAGAATTTTTTTTTTTTTTTTTTTTTTTTTTTTGCCTCAATCTATTCTTAGCTCCATTGAATATTTAACAGGTTTCCACAGGGTGCAAGATATTCTGCCTAACTAGTTGGTGCTTAGAACTTTATCACCTTATCTATCTTTAGATAGAAGATTTTAAAGATGGTTGCTCAGAATGACAGAGTGAACCACAAACAATGGGAAAAACACACTGGTACATAAAACTGATATTGCCAGGACAGGTGAGGTGACTTTGAACATATTGATATTTAAAACCAAGAGCCCAAAGACCTGAGTTTGATCCCTGGAATTCACATGATGGGAGAAGAGACCCACAGCACATGATCACACACACATACTAATTAAAATAGAAAAAAAAAATAGTAGTGCCATATAGACTCAATTCTTTATAGAATCTTCTTAAAAGGGTGCCAAATAGTGCTGCTTGGGAAAGTAAAGCAAAAAGTGGGGTTCATCTTCTAATAATGGTGGTGACACCTTACTGGAAGACATTGTCCACACCCTTCCATATCTACTCCTAGAAAGTGGCTGAACAATCCTGGATTGATATGCCTTTAAAAAGCATAAATTATGCCAGGTGTTGGTGGCGCACACCTTTAATCCCAGCACTCAGGAGGTGGATCTCTGTAAGTTTGAGGCTTGTCTGGTCTACAGAGTGAATTCCAGGACAGGCTCCAAAGCTACAGACAAACCCTGTCTCAAATGTCTCAAAAAAACAAACAAAAAGAAAAGAAAAGGAAGGAAAGAAACAACAGCAAAAAAGTGTTAAGTTGTAACTTTCATCCTTTGACCTTCTGCTCTACATTGAAGGATAAAAAAGCCAAAGCCATGGAAGAAGATGAACAGGTAAGACCTCAGAGCACAGACTGGAGCAGAATTTTTGCCAGGAAAAAATGATACCTAGTTCAGGCAAATTCCAACTCTCTCTGCAGTCATAAAAATTTAACAACAATAACAAAAAATAAAATTAACTATCTCTTAGTGTGATTCATCTTCAAAGAAATACTATACCAAACAAAAATTACTTAGCAGGGTGTGGTGACCCATGCCTATGCTCAGACAAGACAGTGAAACCTTGTCTCAGATAAAGAAAAAAAAAGTCAAGTGGTGTCAAATGTGTGTAATCCCAGCACTTGAGAGGCAAGAGGATAGAGTTCAAGGCCAGCTACACAACAAGGAAGAAGGCATCCTAAATACATGAAGTCTTATTTCAACACACAGGCAGAATGTTGCGGGATGTACTTTAAGGAAAGTGGCCAATAAACCTCCATCTTCTCAGTACCAATACTTAGTAACCAATCACTCAATTTAAATGAGCTTAATTAGTAATAAACAATCTATCACTTGGGACCTGATTCCCTTTCATTACATAAACAAAATTTAAGAGGCCAAAAAGGAAATAAACTCTAACTTGAGGTGGGGCTGTAGCTCAGAAGTAGGGTACTTGCACAAAATTCATGGTTTAATCCTCAGCACTGCCAAAATCAAACAAAAAACAATTTTTTTAAGAGATATAGTCTAGCTGCTAAATACACAAAATATAATCAATTTCTATCCTAGAGTTCTTTGAGTACAATAGTTGGTCAATAAAGATCACTTAGATTCAGTTTTATTGTCATATAAAAATGACTATCTAAAAAAATAATCCTAAAGATAAACAAAACTACCTAGGGATACGTAATATACAATCTATACGTTACACAAAACCATCTTCCAAAACTACCCTGTGTCTCCAAGGTAACACGTATTAAGCATGCCTTGGAAAGGGCTCGTTTTAAATGCTACTCTCTTTATACAAGCACAATGGATTACCATTGGATTTGAATCTGCTATGAGATCCCGTAGAGAATCCAGAAATCCCTGATCTTCCACCATCTGGGCATTGATATCATGGAGTTTTGCCACACAGACTGCTGCTGTTTTCCGAACATATGGGTCTTCATCCTTCAAGCACTTGCGGAGGGGTTCACAGAGATATTCTGTAATCTTGTCCACCCGGATGCAGCCCATGGTTCTAACTGCTAAGGCCCGAATCAAAGGATTAGGATCTTCACAATCCTACCAAGAAAAAAAAAAGTTCAACTACATGAATACAAGATGATTAGAAGTAAGCACTCCAGTTGACATAAAACCACAAGTTTCTAGTATGTTCTACATAAGAACCCAATCTCTCATGTTATTCCTTTCCTAAAGGTCATAGTTGTCTACCTAAGAGCTTAGAGGGAAATTTTTTTTTTCTTTAAGAAATTTATCAGGGCTGTAAAGGTCGCTCAGAGGCTAAGGGCACTTGTTCTTGCAGAGGACCCAGATTTGATTCCCAGCATTCACAAAGCAGCTCACAATCATCCATAACTCCAGTTCCAGGGGATCCGATGATGCTCTCTTCTGACCTCCAGGGGCACCAAGCAAGTGCATGGTACACAGATATGCTTGTAAACAAAATACTCGCACACATTAAATAAATCTAAAATAAAAAAAATTATAAGTGTATACAGGTGCCATATGCTTAATTATGTACAGAACCCACAGAGCCCAGAAGAAGATTATCAGAGCCCCATGTGGGTGCTGAGAACAGAACTTGGGAACTTTGGAAGAGAAGCAAGTGTTAACTACTGAGCCAGGTCTCCAGCCCCAGAAAAAATTCTGTTAAGTTCTGCATACACACAATGAGGAAAGGTCCAATAGCACTCAATCTTAGGCTAGGCAAAATCCTGGCAAGTTGGTAAGGCCATCCCTAGAACTATTAGCAGACTTGCTCTTGGAACAGAAAGGATCTTTTTTCTTCTATTCTTGTTCAAGAAAAAAAGATAGAGATTTGGAATGGCTGCATCCCCTCAACTGTCAATCTGTAAGAACCAAGTAAAAGAGAACACAATTTCTGGAACAAAACAAAGATGTGCTATGATCTAACTGGGGCCTAACAGAAGCACATCTCCAGGTAGCAGAAAAGTAGGCTTTCTAGGCTCCTCAGCAGCAAGCAGTCTCCTTTACAAGACAGTTCTTTCAAATACAGCACTGGCAAAATACTGACAAAGAATACTTTCTTTTCTTCTTAGGGTTTACTTATTTATTATGTATACAGTGTTTATTATACATACAATGTATACATATGCCTACATGCCAGACAGGGCACCAGATCTCATTATGCATGGTTCTGAACTACCATGTGGTTTCTAGGAACTGAACTCAGGACCTCTGGAAGGGCAGCCAGTGCTCTTAATCTCTGAGCTGTCTCTCCAGCCCTTCTTTTCTTTTTCGGACTGTTGAGACAGGGTTTCTCTGTATAGCTCTGGCTTTCCAAAAATAGACTGGCCTTGAACTCAGAGACCCACCTGCCTCTTGACTCCTGGAGTGCTGGGAATTAATGTTTTGTACCACCTCCTGACCAAGAATACTCTCCTAAAATTCCTATATCAAAACTTTCTTTAGGCTGGTCATGGTGGCATATGCCTTTAATCCTAGCACCCAGGAGGTAGATGCAGGTGGATCTCTGAGTTTGAGGCAAGCCTGGTCTATACAGCAAGTCCTAGAATAGCCAGGGCTAAACAGTAAAACTTTGTCTCAAAATAAGAAAGAAGAAAAATGTTTTTAAGCATGTACATTTATGTCCAACCCCTTTAAAAATTTAAACAAAAACCTTCCCTATAATATATTCTACCTACCTAAGAATCATTTGACCAAAAAAAAAAAAAAAAACCAAAAACAAAAAGAAGGCATGGTCTATGTAAATGTATAAAAACATGAGGGGGAAAAAAGGCTATATAAAAAGACAGCTTAACAGTTTTTTTTTTTTTTTTTCTTTCTTTTTTTTGGGGGGGAGGGCTTCTTTGTTTTGTTTTGGTTTTTGTTTGTTTTTGTTTTGTTTTGTTTTTCAAGACAGGGTTTCTCTGTAGCTTTGGAGCCTGTCTTAGAACTCACTTTGTAGACCAGGCTGGCCTTGAACTCACAGAGATCTGCCTGTCTCTGCCTCCAGAATGCTGGGATTAAAGGTGTGCACCACCACTGCCTGGCCATCAGTTATAAGTTAATTTTGTATTGTCTGATGCTTCTTAATTAAAGAATGTATTTCAGACAGAAGGGGTATTAATGTGAATAACCCACTACCAGGCTCATCACAGCTAACGATAGAAAACTGACCTTTCAGTTGTATTAAGGAAACTGTGTCGGTGCTTATTTATTTAGGTTTTCTGACACAGGGTCTCCTGTTGCTAGGCTGGCTTCAAACTCACGAAGCTTGGCTTTGTCAGTTTTTAAAGATGTGACAGGAGTGGTGAGGTAATGATTTAAAAACAGATCTGAGCCAGGTGTGGTAGCGCATGCCTAGACCTCAGCGCATGGGTGGCGGGACAGAGTAAGAAGAGGCTGAGGCACAAGGATCAGCCGGGGCGAGAGAGTACCACCCTGCCCCAGGGAGAACACAAGGGTGGGACTGGGATCCTGTGATTCTTATTCTGACAAATGTAAGCATGAAAGTGATGCTGAGAAAAGAAATATAAATTCAACAATAGTGGCCATGGGTCAGTAATTGGTTATTTTTTTTAAAAATCACAAATGAGTATTTTACTACTCCTATGTGAATATTTAAAAATTTGCATAATAAAATAGTTACTTATGGGCTGACTCCAGGCTTAGCAGTTAAAAGTGCTTGCTGCTTTTCTAGAGAATCCGTGTTCAGCTCCTAAAACCCATATCAGGCATTTAAACCAACTTTAACTCCAGCTCCAAAATCTTTTGGCCTCTGTACTCTTACACAAATAAATAACAAAATCTTTAAAAAAATATTTAACCAAACGTTATAAGGCCTGCTAAATCAAAGACAAGCAGCACCTCCTACAGGAGCATTTCTGAGTCATAATCCTAACTTTCACAAGATATAACAAATCCTCAGGTAACCATATGACAGTATGTCCCACCTCTGCAGCAAAATCTAACATGATGAAATCCCCAACATCTGTTAACATTGGGGGATACACACTGAGGTTCACTTGGCTTTCTTTTATTCATCTGGCAAGGATAGATGTACCAAGCCCCACTGACGGAAGGCTTGCCATATGGTTTCCACGTCCCTGGACACTCTGTGCTGGTGTATAGATTGCTTACAAGTGAACACTGCTACTCACTGCTTGACTTCTCTACAGGACTTTGTCCCTTGAAACACAGGTTGCTTATTTGCTATGCAGACACAACTATATTAAAAGTCACTTCTGAAGGTTTGCATGAGGCAGAGATGACTGAGTCCTTGGAAAACTACCTTCACAAAGCTGTTGACAGCCATGATGGCCATGTCTGGCTGACTCTTGGCATAGTTCATCAGATACAGGTACACAAGCTTCTTTAGCTCCAGGTTGTCAGTCTGCATACAGTTCACCACATCTGGAAAAAGAGAGCTGAGGAGGAGAAGGAAGAGAGAAACGAGTGAAGCAGCGTTGGGGCTAAGCTGTTCCACAGATAATGAAGTGGCAGCCTTGATTCTAGAACAATTTGACAAGAGGACAGTGGTACAATGGTGATAATTCATTTTCATGGAAATGAGTAACTAAAAACATAAAAATAAACTGGGTGGTGATGGCGTACACTTTTGGTCCCAGCATTTATGAGGAAAAGGCAGGTGGATCTCTGTGAGTTCAAGGCCAGTCTGGTCTACAAAGCAATTTCTAGGACAGCCAGGACTGTTACACAGAGAAACCCTGTTCAAAAAAACCAATAAACAAAGTACTATTGGCTGCCAGGTCTCTAAACTGTTTTGTTTTGTAGTGCATAGGTTGAACTCAGGGCCTTGTGCATTGTAAGCAAGTGCTTCACCACTGAGCTACATCCTCAGCCCTCTCAAAGTTTTTGTGGAGGGGAAAAAACTATTAGGAAAAATTTGAGAGCAACAGAATGAGACCAACATATACATTACCTCAAACACTGATACAGCTTCATCTTGATTCACATATGCCCTCAAACCTCTTCCCACAGCTGCTCTAGATACTTTGTTCAGTGATGGAGGTCCTTACACATGCTAGGGAAGTGCTCTGCCACTGAGCTATATTCCAAACCATGGCATTATTTTTAAATGAATCAGAAAGTATATTTCTTACTGAGCTATATGCCTAGTGCTTAGCTCTCTGAGCAGGGTCAGGCTATATATAGTTTAGATTGACCTGAAATTTACTATGTAGACCAAGATGACCTTGCACTCACTTCCTCCTATCTCAGTTTCCCAAGTGCTGGGATTTCAGATGTGTACCACCACACTCAGCTTACATTATGTTGTTTCACTATAATAATTTAGGCATATTCTAAGAAAAAAAAATTAGCTTTATCAAACCGAAAGAAAAACTATAACAATTTTCCATATCAGTTCACAGTGGTGTCAAATCACTCCAACTTTTTACTGCTCATTTTCTTACAGCTTTGACCAGGAGGAATTTATGTAGCTCCCACGTCCTTGTGATATGACCCTATATTTTCACATGTTTCTATGATTTCTCAAATCTTCAAGTTTGAAATTCCTAATCAAGATCTGGAATCAATCATTCATTTCTCTAAGCTGTCCTGATTCCCTTTGGGGAGAATTCATGAATTTATTTACTTTTAAAAACATTATACATTTATAAACTGAAACATTATCAAATATAAATGGTCTATTCATTTCCCAAGTTCTAGCCATCATTTCATAATTTACCATTCTTGTATAAGGAAAGAAATGTCTACCTACACTTAAGAAGTAGACCCATTAGCCTAAAAGCAAATCTGGCTTCTAAAATACAAATTAACTAGAAAGTTAGCAAATGACCTTCCCAAAGTTTTATTTAAAAATACTTTGTATATTCTAAATAGTTCTACCTTCTTACAAATATAGGGAAAAAAACTCAAATGTTAGTATATTTTGCATAGTATAAGCCTTGTACACATACAAAAGCAGAACACAGAAACTTTTTAAAGTCATAATCCCAGCACTTGAGAGGCAGAAGCAGGCAGATCTCTGTGAATTCAAGCCCAGCCTAGTCTACAGAGCTAGTTCCAGGACAGGTTCCAAAGCAATATAGAGAAACCCTGTCTCAAAAAAACGAAAAAGAAAAATAAGAGAAAGAAAGAGAAAGAGAGAGAAAGGAAGAAAAGAAAATAGTTAAGTGTATCTGTATGTGTAGATATGGAGATCATTAGTTTTAGGTATTAGTTTTCTCCTTGAGCTATGTGGATCCTGGTGACTGATTTCAGGTCATCAGGCCATCTTTCTGCCCCCAAAAACGGATGCAGAAAAACTGATGGTGGCAAAACCAGTAAATAATTACAAAACATTACCCAACAGAATACTTACAACTCTAAGTAACTCTACCAACCTACACAAGAAGACTGATGCTGGGCACACTGGTGCATGCTAGTAACCATAGCTCCTGGGAGACTGAGGCAGGAAAGCTGCAAGTTCAAGGCCTGTCTGTGTTTCAGGGAGAGTTCAAAGCCAGCCTCAACAATGTAATGAGATCCTCTCGACTTAAAAGGGGAAAGAGGGCTGGAAAGGAGTTTAATGATGAAGGGTCTACATAGTGAGTTCCAAGACTTCTAGAGGTATGTAATAGACTTTGTCTCAAAAATAAAATAAATGATAAGCTCACAACATAAATTATTTAAAGTGAATATTTTAATTAATAAGAAGATGGGAGTGCTTTACATTTTACTCATTTATTGTATGCATCTGTCTATGGGTACTTATGCTACAGCACATATGTGGAGATATGAGACAACCCACCAAAGTGGTTCTCTGCTAGTTTCTGGGGAACTAATGGGTTGTCAGGCTCTGTAGCAAATGACTTTACCCACTAGCACCTATTCAGCCCCTTGTTTACACATTCATAAATCTTCATAGTATCTAAGTAGAAACAACAGAATGCTCATGTCATTATCTCTGCTGTGGAATGTTTTAGCTGAAGTATAAGAAGAAAACTCAACTTCATATAAATATGACTCAAACAATGAAGAAATGGTTCAATATCTTTTCAAATAAATAGATAGTGTTCTCTCTATATATTTATTTTATTTATAGTAGTGTTTTGGATGTATGTGCACCACATGTATGACTGATACCAAAGGAGGTCAGATGGTGTTGAGAGTGTTCCATATCCTGGGTTCTGAGAACTGAACGTCAGTCCTTTGCAAGAGCAAGAAATACCCATAACTACTGAGCTATTTCTCCAGCCTTCTAATCACACACAGTATATTATAAAATAAAATAAAAAAAAGCTTCAACAGAGAGGAGAGAGGGAGAGAGAGAGGGAGAGAGAGAGAGAGAGAGAGAGAGAGAGAGAGAGAGAGAGAGAGAGAGAAGCAGAGAGAGAGAATGAGAACAGGATGACCCAGCAAGTAGCGTGCTTGCACATGGGCCAGATGACCTATCGACTTGATTTAATCCCAGGACTCTGTAGGTGTCAGGAGAGAAGAGACTCTAGAGAGCTGTCCTCTAACTTCTACAGACACACACACATATATAAATTAAAACAGTAAATACCTTTTGAATAAAATAAAATTTTACTGCATCATAAATGACAGTCCTAAATGAAACTTTTTCTCATAACTTCTTTTGTTCTTGGTAGTGAAAAATAGAATGAGTATGCAGGCCAGTGCTACTGCCTGCATTCATGGTAAGATACTGGCAATTCCACCCATGGCTGCTTCCCATCAGCTCAGAATGGCCACAGGACAAAGAGCATAAAGTATTATAACAATAGCTTTGATCTCATAGACCCAGGAAAGGACCTTCGAAAACTGTGGGGCCTACAGATGACCTTTACTAATTTTAGTCTTACTAATCACAGAAGCAAGTAATGATCAAGGCAGTTTTGGTAGTGCTGGTTTTCACCTGGAATCTGACAACAGAATGTAGAGCTGTAAAGCAAAGGGCATTGGCTTAACCCAGTTAAAGAGCATTCAAGCTCTGTATAGTTTTATCATCCTCAGCCAACAGATTTGTAACTGTGCTAGGACTAAAGGCAGTATATGCAACATAAATGTAAAAAGCAGACTAATAAAACACTTAAGTTAGAGCTAATATAAAAGCATGTAGATACTGGGTAGTGGTGGAACACGCCTTTAATCCCAGCACTCGGGAGGCAGAGGAAGGTGGATCTCTGTGAGTTCGAGGCCAGCCTGGTCTACAGAGCTAGTTTCAGGACTGCTAGGGTTGTTACACAGAGAAACCCTGTCATAAATAAATAAATGTGTGCTTCCTTGTAAAGTTTTCAATGGGGCAACCCCATTTTCATAGGTTTTATGTGTTTAGTGTTTTCGAGATAGAGTTGCTATGCTGCCCAAGTTGGGCACCGAAACTCGGGGCTCATGACCCTCTGCCTCAGCCTTTCAAGCAGCTTGGAGTATAGACATGCACCATTGTACCTCAGCGGTCAATGATTTTATAGGAAAGCAGTAAGAGCTACAAAATGGGGTACAGCTCTCTACAGTGTAAGAGTCACTACCTTACCTAACATCCTTCCCCACGGTCATAGCAGCAATCACCTTCTTCACAGCCTCTTTCCTCTTTTCTTTCTTTTCATTGTTGAGTTCAGCTTTTAATTCAAAGATTTCTCCTAAAAGAGATAAGAACAAACAGGTAGGATCTCAGGACTAGAGAATGGGGAGAACACTGCAATATGAAATAACACCAGGATAGCAAGGCAGCCACTCAAAGATTATTTAAAAAAGTACGCGATGTGCAATTCAAAACCCTAGAATATTAGCTGACCCATCAACAAAGACCACATCAATAAACTGTTAAAGCCTTTTAAATCATGGGCTTTGAAAATGCAATACAGACCTTTCTTTAGAAAGCATAAGAGCATCAAGCAGTGGTAGGATACACCTTTAATCCCAGCACCAGAGAGGCAGAGGCAGGTGGATCTTTGTGAGTTCCAGGACAGCCAGAGGTACACAGAGTATCTGAGTGATGATTTCACAGCAGAATTTAAAGACTCAAAAAGAAAATAAATGTAAGGTAGGGAGCTCAAAAACTACATAATTTATTATTTACAAATTTGGACTTAGCATACTTCCTCCCCTCTCAAGATTTATTTGTGTAAGTTCTTTGCATGTATGTCTATGCACCACATGCATGCCCAACACCATCAGAGGCCAGGAGGTGTCAGATGCCCTGGAACTAGAGTTATGGACAGTTGTGAGCTGCTATATGGGTGATAGGAACTAAACTCGGATCCTCTCTAAGAATAAGTGCTCTAAATCAGCACTTACAGGGTAGCTTATAACTGTCTATAACTCTAATTCCAAGGAACCTCAGGGCCTCTTGCCTCTGCAGGCACCAGGCACACATATCCATGCAGCAAAACACTGATACACATAAAAATAACAACTTTTTAAAGGACAGCTTTGTGGAGTTGACTCTCCTTCCACCTAGTTAAGACAGTTTTTTTTTGGGGGGGGGGGAATGAGGGGATCAAGACAGGGTTTCTCTGTATTGCTTTAGAGCCTGTCCTGAAACTAGTTCTGTAGACCAGGCTGGCCTCGAACTCACAGAGATCCGCCTGCCTCTGCCTCCCGAGTGCTGGGATTAAAGGTGTGCACCATTGCCGGGCTAAGACAGTCTTCCTGTTTCTGCTGCTGTGCTATGTACTGGGGTGATTCTTCTGTGTCAGTCTCCCGTGCTGAAGTAGGAATAATGGGAATACTGATGCATATGGTACCATCAACTTTACTATGTGGGTTCCAGGGATTTAATCCAGATGGTCAGGCTTGCATAGTAAGCACTTTTCCCTACTGAGCTATCTCACTATAAGAAATGTTCAAAAATATCAATGCTTTGAATCTACTCTGGTCCAAAAGAACTAGACTGTAAAGAGCTCTTAGTTTATAAGTGATCCTAATGTACAACCACAGTTAAGTTAAAAAAGAAAGAAAGAGAGAAAAAAGAAAAGAAGAATCATCAGTCTAGACTGCATTACTGGTATGAAGAAAGAGTCTTTCTAACAGGACTTGAAGTCCACTCACAGGAGGGAAATCATGCTTGGTACTGTGGTGTTTGCATGAGAATGGCCCCCATTGGCTCACACGTTTGAATACTTGGTCCCCAGTCTGCAGAACTGTTTGGGAAGACTAGGATGTATGGTCTTAGTGACAGAAGTGTGTCACTCAGGGAGGGCTTTGAGGTTTCAAAGGACACCATTCCCATTGTTCCCTCTCGGGTTCCTGTCGCGGCCAGGACGTGAACTCTCAGCTGCTGCACACCAGCACCATAGGCCTTACTGCACGCCATGATGACATGGAAACAAACTCATCTCTCTCTGGAACCATAAACCCCAAAGAAACTCCTCCTTCTATGCCCTGGTCATATTATTCTGTCATAGCAATAGAAAAGTACTAATACAGTACTAGAAACCTGGTCAAAGACCAAGGCCAGGGAGGTCCTAGGCGATAGTGGGCAATCTATCACTGTTATTCTGCTGTTGGCCAACTGTCTTCTACACATTTACATTTACACTAGAGGTTAGTGCTGTTCTCAACATTGGTCAGAAAAGCTTATTTGCATAGACAAAATTATCATTAAGTGCTGAGAATAAGTGACAAGGTCCTCAGCCCTAACTGGAATACTTATATCAACTATCTCACCTGCCCCATGGCTCAGAGAACACCACAGAAGGTGGCGTAGTGGAAACAATATAAGCTGAAAGACGGGGAAAGGGTTGTGAAATGGGTTTCTATGCATGAGATGGCCTTTGCATTCATTAACCACAGTACCTTTGGTCATGTGCACAGTAAGAAGCCAGTCAACGTTAAAGCATGGGTGGGTGAGGGACTCACAAGGCTCAACCCCTAGCTTTGGGGCTGCTGGTAGTATTGGCGGCTAAATAAAGACCATGAAGTTGGGAGGGGGACATGTTGAGGAGAACTGGAGGGGGAAGTGGGTGCCTGACATGAACAAGATACATTATACATGCATGAAATCACAATAAATACATATGGACTGGTGATATGACTAAATGGTTAAAGGTGCTTCAGAACCAACAGGGTGGAAAACCAACTTCTGAAAGTTGTCATCTAATTTGCATGTCTGCTTTGGCACACACATCTACACACATACAAACACAATAAATATAAATATGAAGGGGGGGAAAAACACTCCCAGGTCTCAGCCTCAATCAGTCAATTCAATGTGGTCCAGCATGGTGGCACATCTGTAATCACAGCATTTAGAAGGCAACGGCAGGAAGACTGCCACAAGTTCAAGATCAGCCTTAGTATGTTACTACTATTTAGTAAGTTCCAGGCCAGGTAGGACTACAAGAGATTCTCTCTTGGTGATAAGAAAACAGGAGGAGGAAGAGTGAAGCTTAGAATGATATAAACTAGGGTCATTTCTAAAGGCCAAGTTTGAATGACTACTCAAGAGATGTCAAAGACTGTCACCACTGTTTTAAGGCACCATCTCTAGCCTCATCTGTCTTGAGAACACATGAGACAAAATAAAAAAGCATTGGTCCTAATCAGACAAAGGAGAGAGAGAATGGAAGGCGGGCTATCCCACACCACCACTTTCATGAGAAAAAGACAGTAACTCTCATCAGACAGAGAAGGAGTTGGTGAATGGAAGGAAGGCTGCCCCATTTCTTCCTTTTATGGTTATCCCCCACCTTTTGGTGCTGGTTTTGTTTGTAATAGGGCTTGTTATGTAACCCTGACTGGCCTGGAATTCACAATGTAGACTAAGATGAACTCTTAACTCACAGGCAATCCTTCTGCCTCTGCTTTCAGTGTACTGGGATTACAGGTGTGTGCCACCTCACCCATCTTTTCCAACTACCCCTCCAAATTTGACTACAGTATTGCTTCCTTGTCCACCACCTTCCAGACTGTTCTCAATGTTCATTTTACCTGGATGTCATCCTCCAGGCTGCACACTGTGTGATCTCCCTGAAGCCCCTGACAGGAAGTATATCGTCGACAAGAGACATAGAAATGGAGCCCCAAAAAAGCTTGTTTTATATCAATATCCATCCTCAGTAGGCAAGCAAATTGTTCTAAAAATCACTATTCCATTTACTTGACAACTACAGAACTAACACTGACAGCTTTAAAAGCATCATTCTTCACTGAGACCTGTGCTGCCAAATGCAGTTCTCAGGGCTCCCATCATTACTTCTGGAACAGTGAAGGACAAACAGCGGGGTTTCAGAAAGTCTGAATTGTGAGAGCAGCAGGAGCTGCAGAATGGAAACAGGATGTAAGTGAAATGATTCCAGAACCAAGCACAAATGTAAAGGATCTGCTCCAGAGGCAGTGGGCGGTTCTGGTGGGCGGCACAGGAAGCAGAAAGAACAGGGTCTATCCATTTTTGAAAAACATATTATCTATCAGTGATTCAATTTGTATGCCTCAAACTTTTATAAATGTCATCTGCACCTTTACAAGAGACAGTATGATGAACTGATGAGTTTTAAAAACCTGTGAGAAAAAAGGCCAGGTGTGGTATAGGACTTTAATCCCAGCACTCAGGAGG